CCACACCCACACCCACATCCACACCCACACCCACACCCACACCCACACCCACACCCACACCCACGCCACACCCTGAATAGTTTTCCATACATATAATCTTAGTAATTTTGCTCTGAGATGGATGAAATATTCCTATATAAAAACAGAAGATATCTTGGGAAGCTTCTGCGACACGAAATATCACTCCGTAATTTGCTCACCTAATACTATCACACCGAATATTATTTAACTGTAACTGGAGGATAATGATGATGTGTTTGCACAGCAAAATAAGAATTCAGACAAAACTAATAAATATTTTATTGTAGTCTATTAATGTTAATATTTACATTGAACATTTAACAAAAATAGCTACCGAAGATGTTTGCTTAATTAGATATGTAATTAATTCATTTAACTTCAGCCTTACAATACATTGAAATAATAATAAACTTAAACACTATTATGTGGATTTTGATGATGTCTCGTAAGGAGTGAGTCTGAACATCCAGCGATTCACATGCTTGCAATACTCCTTATAAGGTTCACCAAATCTCTCAACAAGCTTAGGCTCTTCTTTAAACATGAAGTAAAGTGTTTTGCAAACAAAAAATGAACCAGTAAAATATGCCATTCCGTTAGAATTGAAAAACAAAGCCTCGGCAATCATTATCATGAGTATTGACGCAATCATTGGATTTCGTACGAATTTATAAGGTCCTTCCGCCACAAAATGCTTTGGTGGCATCATTGGTGATAATGTTCCTTTCCCTTTCGACCAGAAGTGATAATTTGTAGTACAAAACAAGTACAAACCAATGGAAAACAAAATCATACTTAGTAATTGTGCAATATTACGATATTGAACATGAAATAAATAGTTCTGTTCCGGATTGGCACTGTTAAGAATTGTTCCAACATAGATAGCTCGAGGAATGCCAACAGTGGCTTCAATTGGCAACGATAATGACACGAACAGTTGCATTAGATTTGTTTCATTTCCGCCAATCATTAGAAAGTGACCCACAATCACGAATAAATGTGTGTATATTATAGGTGAAATAATATCCCACCAACTATTTGGAAACGTTTCCATTAGTTTTGTAGGCCAGGTACCAGATGTTGCAATAATGTAAGCTGGTAAGCACAATACAATTGTTAGTGGTATTACTTCTTGAATAACTTTCTTAGTATAATTCATGGCGATTCTAATCTCGAATAAATATTGAACGTTGTTAAGCGTATTCAGTTCAAATTGAAGCTTTCTTAAAAGCAAAATCAAGAATGAAATATTGAATTAATTAATTAAAGCAATTTGCTTAATTTTAAGAGAGGATCCGTGAGATCATCACCCAAGCCGATTGCCGAAAAAGTTTTGATTTTGAAATTGACTATCCAGTTCGAAAGAGCAAAGAAAGTTAGCCATAGACCCAAAACATTAGAGGGTGATAGTGTATTATGAGAAGACATCTTCTCTTATAATAGTAAAAATATAAACATGACAATATTATAATAAGTTTTTCGAAATTGACCAACATGAATTATTCATTAAAAAAAAGAAAAACATTCTTATCTTAAAAAAGGATATCAATTTAATTAGACAACATGTGGTTTATGCTAAATTTATTGAAGAAGTTGTTCATCCAGAAAGTCAAAAGGTATGTCGAAGAGATCTAATATTTCAAGACAATGCAGACTCAAAACAACGAACAAAAACTGTATTACAAATTGTCGATGGATTATTTAATCATCGAATTATACCAGAAGAAGGCGATGCTAAATTTGCTTACGTCTAGTCTATTGAGAATGCATGGGGAATTTTAAAGGAAAAAGCACGAGAGGAACAGTTTTCAAGTTTTGAACAAAGAATGGAAAAAATAACTTGTGATGATTGTAAAGAAATGATCGATAAAATTCCTAACAGACTCGGCGAAGTGATGAACAATAGTGGAGAACAGATACATGATAGTTAAACCACATTTTTGTCTAATCAAATAAATATCTTTTTTGTAAATAAGAATATTCTTTTTTTAATGAAAATTTCATGTTGGTCGATTTCGAAAAATTTATTATAATATTGTCATGTTTATATTTTTACTATTATAAGAGAAGATGTCTTCTCATAATACATCATTTGAAAGACCGTCATTGAGTACTCAAACTTTATATAAAAACATTTGGTTTGAGATCGTTTTTTATTTGCATATAAACTAATTTTTATCAAGCCTCAAAACTTATGAAACACCCTGTATCGCTTGAGAGAACAATGTAATGCTATAAGTTTTGTGCTATTTCCCGGAGAGAAAGCTGATTTCCATTTAGCCCATCCAGTGATATACCACGTGATCGGCAGTAGTCTGTGTCTAGAAAGAAAAATATTTTGGTGCCGACAGTCTGTAAATCTAGCAAGTTCGGCTATACGTTAAGCTGAGTTGTTCCTAAAAAATGAGCTGGATTTCCAAGATTTCGGTTTTGGAGTATATATTTTGTGTGTCGGTTTAACTCAACAAGCAAATCAACTTAGCTTGTATGAACTGTGACAAACAGGGTCAAAGAACAAGTGATATATCCTTTGCTCTGAGCTCATTCGTAAGCAGCTGATTTCTTAGTCTCTTTTCAAGAGCGACAATACGATAGAACTGACAATAAGACTTTTTCTATCCAACAAACTCTGGTACGGAAACATATCATTTAAGTACGATAGACTAAATCCAAATAGTATAGTGGCACTTACCGTTAAATAATGCCCACAGACGATCGAAGTAGAATGAAAATGGGTAAATGCACTAATTGCGAATACAAAATAATGTAAAAAAACTGAATAAAAATGCGAAAAGTACACGTTTATATTCCTCTTCTTCTGCAGTGATCACTGATGCATAGATCATATTTTTTTCACATTAACGAAAAATAAGCAAGCAGTCCGATGATAGGAATGTCAGTGTATGCAACGTTTTTTTTCTCGTCATACACTTAGCGAACATTACTTGCAATCAATGTATGAAGAGAAAAGAACGAAAATACATTAGTCGGCTCTCACATCAACAAAACACGTGTAGACAGTCTCATACAAAATGCGAAGTGATCCCATCGCTGACATGCAATGATCATTTATTGATTTTTTTCTAACGTATAAAGAGTGAATGAATGACACACGTATGGACTTTTCCAATATGTCAAAGAACCGTGAAAATAGTCATACAGAAGAGTCTTTGACCTGACTATTGGATTATTAAGACAAAAAAATCTTGTCCAAATGAGGCAAACATAGTCGCATTAAGGTTCCCTTTTTCTTGAGGATGAATCCCATATGTGATCCAGCTGCCATAATCCAGATTTCGATTCTGTTAAAATTCAGGTGGCTTGTTCCAGTGAGTTTGGTATGAGTGTAAAAATTTTCTCAATCATTGGGTGTGGGTGTGGGTGGGTGTGGGTGTGGGATGTGGGTGTGGGTGTGGG